GGCTGAAAGAGGCTTAGCACAGCTCATCTCCTACACAGCAACAAAAGCACAATCGCATGCAGTTTGTAAGGGAAAATTAGCACGGTGTCAGTTTTCACATGCACCATTAAATCAGAAATAAGAGTCCAGTATCTCTAACCCCAACTCAGACGCTACCTTCCCTCTCCTCCTCTTTTGTCAAACTGCATCACTTTCTGCTCCTTCTGAGTCCTTTCTAAATATTTCGGAGCTCTGCCAAAATACAATCAACAGTTTAAGCATTTTTTTTCCTTTCTCTTCTCCATTTAATCCTGTTGACTGAACAGAGACAACACTGAGATGACTATGTGCTCTGTGTAATTTTTATACTGTACACAATACACATATGTGAAACATTCCTTAGACAGTCGTATCGAGCATAATTTATCTCCCACTGTAAATGACTCTCGAGGCGAGTGAGCAAGCAGTGTTTTCTGCATACTGTTAACAGCAACTCGAGTGCTTCCTTTCTATTTAGTAAAGGCATCAGTGCCCTTGCAAAAGCCTGCAATGAAATTGGAAAGAAGGTTGAATTTTTACCAGCACTTACATTGACTGAACGTGTAAGTCAATCGGTTAACCATCAAATGAGAGGCTGTGGAACAAAAGCCGTCTGAATTCCCCTTGGAGGGGCAGCAAGCTATACAAACCCACAGAGCTCCCATTAAGGGAGCGTGGAGAAGCGTGGACAAGGGCAACATCTATCATTTAGGATAAGCCGGATATGCCTCACATAGCATGCTCACTGCTTCTTTGGGCCTGTTTGGAAAACAAACAACACTAAAAAAATAGAACGTTGGTTACAAAAATAAGTATAACATTCAATACTTTGATTGTCTTTTTAAAATCTATTTATTTTCTGCATATGTAGATGACTTTTAAAGATTTCAAGCGCATAATGTTGAAGGTGCACAATTATCTCTTTTTTTTTACTGGTTTCTTCTTCTTCTTCTTCTTTTTTTATCATTTTGTTTTGTTTTCAACATCGTAAACATGAAAATAAAATATTGGTCCACAAAGTATAACTGTGCGGTATCAAGTGCTTTTGTACAAAAAGAAAAAAAAACGATATTATTATTAAAATATTCATTTTAATGGCTTTACTTCATACATAAATACATGTTGAAAGAACACAGGCGCAATCCACTGGTTGGTCAGATATATCTGAATGACTTCGATTTAACGACTGGATGTATATACACAGGAGGGCAGTTTGAGCGCCTTAACAGCGCTACAAATAGGCAAGCCGGCGTCCTTTGTTCCTAACTCTCTGTCTGTACCTTCTACCCAGAACCGCTGCCAGGTATTTCTGCACGGCCATCTGCTTTCTATAGCGACTGTAGCTGTCAGTGAAGATCCCATCTGAGTGTCTTTTGGATAAGGGCTCTGATTCTTCCTCCATGCTGTTGTCGTCACTGAAAAAATACAGAAGATAAATAAAACAACAGTGACATTAGTTAAAGCTGCGAGGTCTTGACTGGTTTGTGCTCTTTTTGATGTGGCATTTCAACTTTGATCATTTCTTCATCTGGCCAGTAGTCATTAATAATGCATTTATGGGCCTTTATTTTATTTTTATTTTTTTGTTTTTTACGTTAAAAATATATATATGTGAGGAAAGATTTAGTGATTTAAGCGTTTTGGAAAGGTTATCAAATATTAATTTACATCCCATTACATATTCTGACGCTTGCTTTATTTTTCCCACCACCACCCATTAATGTTTGTAAAAGCAAAATCAATTGATAGGTAAGACAAGGGCTACAAATAGCGCTGTATTTCAGTATCTTATTCTTAAAGAACATAAATCGTGGATGCAATGTCACGCCACATCAAAATAGGAGCAAAACGGTGGAATGAAAATGTCCAGACATTATATAGAGGGGTAGCATTTTTTTAAGAAGAAGAAATAAACCACACACGCACGTAAAATGACAGACAGTGACACAGCAGCCTGAACTTGAGCAGCGCAGAAACATAAAAAAAATAAAATAAAAATGATGACTGCAGGTGAACGCTAATAAGAAATGCCCTTACCCTGCACGAATTGTCATCAGAGAATGCAGATAATGTCTCGCTGTTAACTGACCCAGGATCTCCCTCAAGGCTCTATCTAATTCTTCCTCAGCATGCCTTTCTGGTCTGAGATGATAAAACGCCAAAACACATAGATCGTCAGTGACTAAAATAAAAATAAATAAATTAAAACAAAAAAAATATATATAGATTAAAAAGCGCGGACAAAATGATCAAAAGTAGCCTAAAATGTTCCCGCCCACTCGCATGTCCAATATCACGTCAAGTGCAATAAATAAATAAGAAAGAAAGAAAGAAAGAAAGAAAGAAAGAAAGAAAGAAAGAAAGAAAGAAAGAAAGAAAGAAAGAAAGAAATTAAAGGCTATCCTTTACGAATCTGTCGACCTTCTTTTTTTTTTTTTTAATCTTGATTATCAACTGCAGGGAATCAACATTTTAGGCTACTCGGTATGAAAATAAGACAGGACAAATAACATGAGAAACTCTGGGAAAAATAAAGCAAGCAAACATTATAGCAAACAGCAACAAAGTCATTAAATTGGAATCCAGCCCAAGGCTTTGGCTGTGAAACGAAGGCGCATTTACCTCTTCTCCTGTGGGTAGTATAGGGTGTATGCGTCGTCGTTTAAGGATGGCGGGCTTCGTATAGCAATCTGATCACTATCAAAACCCATGTCGGATAACGAATTCCCGTCCTCATCGAATGCGTCGTTTTCAAGTCTGCATAAAGAAAGAACATTCATCACAATTTTGATCAATGCACACGTGTGGACGCAGGAGTGAAAGGATGCCAAATGTCTGCATCTGCCTTTAAAAACAGCGGGCGGTTAAATGCAATGGAAAAGGGTGAAAACGGGGGGAAAGAGGCTTTTTAGAGTAAAGAAAGAAAGAAAAATAAGCCAGAAAACGAATAATTTAAATTTGGCGAAAATAATGATTTGAATTTTATTAAATGCGTCCTGCTGTATTGTTTTCTTTCTTTGAATATGTTTTTCTTTCTGGAAGAAATCGGTTTTTTTTTAATATATATATTCCACTTGATGCTGCCGGCTCCAACCTTATTAATTATTTAAAACTCGAAACAATGGGTGTGAAAATGATCACATTTAGTGTAGGCGTGGAGCTCAAAAATATTAAAAAGAATTCAGAAAATACCTTTTTTATGTATTTATTTATTTATAATTTGATCAACGAGAACCACGCCCAAATAATGGATATGCTTTTCCCGAAGAAGGAAAAAAGAAGAAGAAGACTAAATCTTAAATGGATAAAGCTCCCCTATTCGTTTTGCCTCGCCTCTCCTTGGTGACGCCAGTCCACCGTCATCCCGAGGGCTATCCATTGCATCGACTGCATTCTCATTTTTAATAAGGGGAGTTCCGTGAACCGTCCCACCGGACAGATACTCCTGTGCAATTTCCATACTCATTTTCCACAACAGCCTTGCATTTGATTGTTTAAAAGCCTGCATGTCCTTCTGTTATCATGCTTAACTGGGAGATTCTAAAACTTGCGCACGGAGTTTCTGCGCAATTGCGCGCATTTATTTGAAATAAAGTGAACAAACCTCTTTTTCGTTGATTGCAGCAAACGTAACAGCAACATTAAATGAAACGTGTTGCTGAGGAGCATTTCAAATAGAACATAAAGGACAACGATAACAACCCAGAAACCAGAAACCTACCTAATCTTGGGGTAACTTAGTCCAAGAGGTGTGCAGAAGACGCTGTAGTGCATAAAGATCCCGTAGATGAGCAAGATTAAAGTCGCTTTACTCGAACTGGCCATGCTGTTAGGAAATGAGAAACAGACACAACATTAAACAGAGCAGTTACCTGACAATAAAGCGGCTTTTTCTTTGTTGTATCAAAATCACAAGGCGGTGCTACTTTATCACCACTAATAAAACTAAAAAGCTGGTTCGAACATGAACCTGTTTGAATTAACTGGACAAAGATAGCGTCCACTGGCTTATACCAAAAAAGGATAATTAAAAACGAGGGGTGGGGAAAAAAAGCTGGATATTTTGTGTTTTATTCACCTCATCTTGTAAAAGTTACACTGCGGTAATGACACCAAATCCTCTATGTTCAGCGTCAAAGTAGCTAAAAAATTGCAGATCTCCACGCAGTTCACAAAAAGGGAAAAATTTCCATTACTTTATCTCGCTCTGGAGCATGAATTTCTCCGAGTTGTAAGACAGTCCGCAGATAAAGCACATACCTATAGCAGGAAAGCAGAGAGGAGGCTGTGCTGTAGGTTGTGAACCGGGCGCGGTTGTGGCAGTGCGTGTCTGCGTGTGTGTGAGAGTGAGAGAGAAAGAAAGAGAGAGACGGTATCTTTCTCACGGCACTTCTTCCCTGGCTGAAGCGCCTCCGTCGTCTCCTTATGTTCCCCTCAGTGCTGCCTATCTCACTTTTATACCCAATTAATAGGACTCAATCGGTCGCAAAGCCAAACAAAAACTCGGTGGGAGAGCGCGCTGTCTGTGCGTCTACATATCGTTGCTCTAAACTTTTGTCCTGTGCTGTGATTGCCTTGGATTTTTATCCATGTATCGCAAGCCTTGCCCCCCTCCTCCTCCTCCTCCTCGTCCTCCACCTCCCTCCAATAAGTCACATTAAGGATGCTATAGACGTCATCAAGTCTTCCTCCCGGAATATAATAGTACAGTTCCTTCCTCATCGATGCATCCGTCAGACTCACCCCCACCTCCCTCCGAAGATGGAAGTTTACTTTCAAACTTTCTTCTTTTAAAAAAAAAGAGAGAGAGAGAGAGAGAGAGAGAGAGAGAAAGAGAGAGAGACGCTTGTGAATGCATACATGAAATCATCAAGTTTTGATGTGACGCCCAATACAGATCAGTTCGTCAACGCCTTAACCACTACTGCTTTTCTTGTTTGTTTTTTTTCTTCTTTTTTTAAAATATAAAATAAATAAATAAAACTTTCACGTCACCAATAGGTTAATTACGCTTTAGTGATTATCTCTGATCTGGGAAGTGGTGCTGGTGGTTTCAAATGACTTGATGGTTTTGATGGAGGGTGATCAGGCTTCCGATGACCAAGTCCAAGGCCCCTGGGGAGTCAGGAGCTGTCCAGTGCTGAAATGACTCGTCTCAAATTGCGGCTTTCAGACTTTACATTCACTTTTCTTTTTGTTCTAATCGTTTACAATAATTGCTCACTGGATGTCGAGGGGTGGCTTTAATGGCCGTGCAATGAGAACGCTAAGGTCTAAACCTAACCTCTGGATTGTTGAAATAAACGAGGCACATAATCGGATTTGAACAACGGCTGGTGACGCAGGATGCTGGTTCGGAGAGTCTGCGTGGCCGAATAAACGATTCACGTTTTCCCAGCATTGTTCTCAAATTATCTATGTCATTACAATCTGCTGATTGATGTGTTTAAACGAAAAACGACGATGCAATGCTTTTTATATAGAACATGTGTCAAATAACCGAGAAGAAGGCCTAATCCTCTCCACCCATAGTGGACTGGTGACGTCTAATTTCGAGCTCGTGGAGAGTAAGTCGAACCTCTCTGTATCTGCAGCTTCTGAGCAATTTGCTCTTTATTGTTTGTTCTAATGCCGCAGTCAGATGATTGGAGCAAAACTTGGCATTCTTTTTTACTCCATACATGAGACTTTTCATTTTGGAGGTTCGGAGGCCGGTCTAGCAAACTTGAATATTTTTCGTGGGGACTGGTAATATTCGCCAAATGGAGGGGTCAGGAGACGCTTAGGTTTAACTATGCACCCCCACTGAATCAGATATATAGCTCACCAACCAATTGAAGAGTTTGCCAAAGAGGGGAGACGGAGACATTCACGTCAGCGTTTTGTTTACGCTGACGCAATATGACGAAAAGAGCCAGTCACTGCGGGAGGGGGGCTATCTAGAACCTCTCCTTGATTCATATGAAGAGAACAACTTAAAGCCCATGCGTTTCAACTGGAGCAGACTGCTAATATTAGGCCGGGTACAGCAGGTAGCATGCAGCTCCGTAGCCTGAGCAAACGGCGCCATCATGAGGACAGAGGACAAACACGCTGAGCCAGTCTACCGAGGTTTAGTCATCATCACAGAAGCACACAGAAGGAAAGAAAGAAGGGAGAAGTGGAGCAAATCCTCACACCAGTAATTCTTCTTCATAAAGTGTCACCTTGTTAGTGAAACAGCTTAACTGAGAGCTTCATTTAAAATTCGTGTGATTTCGGCATGACATTACAACTGAGAGGGTTATTTTGCATTTAAAACACAGACGCGTAAAATGGAGCTACTCCAGCGTGGCTTTGAATGTCACTGCACCTACAGTTTAGTGAAGGCTCATAAAGGCCAGTTTCCCTATATGGCTGACCCATAATTGAAGTACCTGCAAACTCTTGCAGGCTCTTTTTTTCGAGCTGGAACCTCTGTGAGTTGCTAAACATCGGCCATCAAAATCAGAAACACACAACACCACAGAGAGATCATAGATAAGGAAAAGGGATATATGTTCAACAGCTTTTCTACAGATTCCTGTCCGATTTGTTATCCGTGGAAGATTTAAAGTGCCCAAATTCAGATTTCCCTTCAGTCCATGTTTATCTATTACGTAATGCAATGCAGTAATAATAACAGTTTATGTGCTTTATCAAATGTAAATAAAACCGAATTCAATGATTCAGTGATCTCAAAAGCCATATTTTGCAAAAGACCATAGAAAACACACCACCCTATGGCAACACGTCTTCTTTTTTTAAAAAAAAAAGTCTGTAGACAAGTGTGAACTGAGGAGACCAGTTGCTGGTCTTTGGGGAGAGAAATGTTCCATTCTTGTCTGCTATAGGATTCTAGTTACTCAACAGTCTTTGTCATATTTGTTTCATTAATTTCTTCGGTTGGTGAAAGGGTCTCCGCGGGATTCTTTTCTAATAGAGCCAGGTTTAGCATTCTCTTACTGAAGGCTTTCCCTGGAAAACATGTAATCTGGATGCACACGTTGCTCTAAAAGTTGCATATACCTTTCAGCATTGATGTGCAGCACACATCTGATCTTTCCAGCTGTGAAAGCTGCCAATTACAATGGACCCCCATACTATCAGAGACACAGGTTCAAATTTTACATTTCAGTTCATCTGGACACAGAACAGATTTCCACTTTTGCCTCAGTCCATTTTAAATTAGCTTTGGTCCAAAGGACAAGACGGTAGCACAAGCTTATGTTTATGTTTATTTAAAGAGATCATGTCTATTATTAACATGAGAACTTAAATTCATCATGTAAATATGCCAGATTTAGGCTAATTTTCATCGGCATACGGCTTCTTTTTTGCATAGAAATGCTACTTTCGACTGCTCCCTCACTCACAAGGGGTCACAGGTAGCTTTGCTTGTTTGATTTCATAGATTCTTGCACTAGATTACCTTCCTAACCCAATCCCAAAAGGTTTTTATGTCTCTCTGAAAATAACAGGTATTTAATATTGATTCTCAACCCCTTGCACACAGAGATTTCTTCAAATTCTCATGTTTTGATTATGTTATTTGTTGTAGATATATAGATATTCACAATCTTCAAATTTTTACATTGAAGAACATTATCTTGAAATTGCTCCACAATTTGTAGACACAGTTTTGTTGAAAACTGGTGATCTTCCATCTGTCCTTTCTTCTGAGAAACTCTGTTTCTAAGAGGTTCTTTTTATACCCGGTCACGTTTCCTGTCCAATCACGGCTCATATCCGATCATACTGCCAACCTCTTGTAAATCAACCTAATTAGTAGCAAAATGTTGCTCCACGTGTTTCTTTTTAGTTCCACTTTTTGTTGCCCTGTCCCAACTGTTTTAAATAGTGTTTCTGCCATGAAATAAAAATGAGCTAATATTTATCATGAAGTAGTAAAACATCTCAGCTCAGTTTTCTATGGTCAATAAAATATAGGTATATGAGATTTGCAAATGACTTGCAAATGATTGCATTCTCGTTTTATTCACAATATCCACCTTTTTTGGAATTGGGGCAGTACTGAACTACTACTACAATACTACTGCTATAATAATAATAATAATAATAATAATAATAATAATAATAATAATAATAATAATAATAATAATAATAATAATAATAATAAAAAGAAGAAGAAGGGTGAGGTGGGGTGGTCAGGATTATCTATGATGGATAATGGTATATTGCTCAGTGGCCTCTCCACAACAGCTTCAAACTTCCTAATCAGGTTATTTGGACTATAGCTGCCACTAGTGCAAATGCTACTCCCCCATATAATGACCTTATTACAAAAATAAGAGGAAGGCTTTCTTAAGGACATTTTGAAATGCTATTAATCTTGCATCTCCTTGCAAGCTATGCACGGCCCATTGGCTGATACCCCTGAATCAGGAGGTCAGCAATTAATGGAGGGCACCACCAATAAGCTCATAAAGAGATCAAATTAAGACTGAGCAGAACTGAGTGTAGCTTATTGCTGCAGCCCTCCTCCACAGTCCCAGTTTCTTATGTGACCCTTAGGGAAAATTAATTGCACATCCGCTGCCCTGAATGGAATTTAACCAACGTGTTTGAGCAACAGTTGTGTTTATTTCCACCCCAATAACTGGTTCGCATGATATTTAATGTGAGCATGGATGTTTACTGTAAATATTGTTCTTTTTTGTCCTGTCTGTCCCCTCACCCACAGCTGGTGACGACAGATGGCTGCCCCTTTCGGAACCTGGTTCTGCCCGAGCTTTCTCCCTGTTAAAAGGGAGTTTTTCCCTCCCACTGTCGCTAAGCGCTTGCTCCATTTGGGGGGGGGGGGGTCTGATTGGTGGATGGTGGAGTTTTCTCTGTATTGCTGTAAGGTCTTTACCTTAAAATATAACGTGCTTTGAAATGACCGTTGTCGTGATTTGATGCTATATAGATCAAATTGAATTAAATGGAATTGAATTATTTAACTTTAAAGGCTAACCGATAATAAAATATAATATTAAATCTGACCGATGAAAAAAACAAAATGTAGATATCGAGCAGTGGAAATCATTGCATGATGACAAACAGTGACCGTGCAAACTCTGAGAATCCTTGCTCGTATGCATCCGAAGTGTTTTGCAGAGGGAGCCACTTTCTAGGGAAAAAAGCATCTGGGGGACATGCTGTGGCGCCTGCGCACTGTGTAGTTAGAGTCAGTAGGGGTCAGCAAATCACTTGAAAATTGTTTCATCCCTTTACAGACACACTCCCGCTGTGTCTGTAGTCAGCTTTTGGTTTGGTTAGGTGTTCAAGATGAAAGCCCAACATTAGCCTCCCGCTCTCCTTCCTTTTCTCATTAAATATTTTGAAATTATTTTAAATATAATTTTTTTAAACTACCGCCTCTGTGTAAGTTTAGAAATCTTATGGAAACAATGAATATTTTAATAAGTGTTTTACACACTATGATTTTCCAGTCTGTGCTTCGCAGACAGCCTCGCTGAAACACGCAGTCTTTTACACCTATTGTTAACTCAAGTATCTGCGTGAACACACCTCTTTTAACCGTTTGTAAAACCCAGATGGCGCTAAATGCCTGCGCAATATGAACAAA